ATTTTGGTATTTTAGTATTTTGGTATTTTAGTATTTTGGTATTTTAGTATTTTGGTATTTTAGTATTTTGGTATTTTAGTATTTTGGTATTTTAGTATTTTGGTATTTTAGTATTTTGGTATTTTAGTATTTTGGTATTTTAGTATTTTGGTATTTTAGTATTTTGGTATTTTAGTATTTTGGTATTTTAGTATTTTGGTATTTTAGTATTTTGGTATTTTAGTATTTTGGTATTTTAGTATTTTGGTATTTTAGTATTTTGGTATTTTAGTATTTTGGTATTTTAGTATTTTGGTATTTTAGTATTTTGGTATTTTAGTATTTTGGTATTTTAGTATTTTGGTATTTTAGTATTTTGGTATTTTAGTATTTTGGTATTTTAGTATTTTGGTATTTTAGTATTTTGGTATTTTAGTATTTTGGTATTTTAGTATTTTGGTATTTTAGTATTTTGGTATTTTAGTATTTTGGTATTTTAGTATTTTGGTATTTTAGTATTTTGGTATTTTAGTATTTTGGTATTTTAGTATTTTGGTATTTTAGTATTTTGGTATTTTAGTATTTTGGTATTTTAGTATTTTGGTATTTTAGTATTTTGGTATTTTAGTATTTTGGTATTTTAGTATTTTGGTATTTTAGTATTTTGGTATTTTAGTATTTTGGTATTTTAGTATTTTAGTATTTTACTATTTTACTATTTTACTATTTTACTATTTTACTATTTTACTATTTTATTATTTCCCTATTTTGCAGATTTACAATTTTGTACTTTTGCAATTTTGCAGATTTGTATCTTTGCATTTTACAGTTCTGCTATTTTGCTATTTTACAGTGTGTAGTTTTATTGTACTGCAGTTTTACTATCTTACAGTTTGCAGTTTTGTTATGCTGCAGTCTTGCTATTTTACAATTCGTACTTTTACTATGCTGCAGTTTTGCTATTTTACAGTTTGTGCATTTGTTATCCTGCAATTTACCTATTTTGCTATATTCCTACATTACTATTCAGCCATTTTATTACCTTGCTATCTAGCTATTTCACTATCTCTCCTACCATACAAAATTAATTCAATTCAAAGAGCAAAAACACCGACCATCTTTCTCTCTGAAGATTTAAAGGATGCATTTCATATTCCTATCTTCTTGCACAATGTTCCCACCGGAAGTCCGCTCGAAGTACCTTCTCATTCGATACAGATTCAACTCACTCTATTCCTTTCTGAATTCACCGGTCTCGGAAGTTCATGAACAAAAAGTCCGAGACTCTGTATCTCGTTTTTGGTGTATCGAAGCTAGCCGAACAGACGTTGTTAGAACACGTTAAAACCGGAGCGCCACGGGATCTCTCCCCATGGCGAGTCACGTCCAACGCATCTCGGAAACGGGACAGGGTCGATCCTGTAGGATAGAGCGAGGGTTGCTCGTGGCATTTTGCCACCAGACAGGAGACGCCAGCGCATTGTGCGTGAAAACGACAAAAGCACCGATGCGCTTCTCAACGGGCCCACTATGCTTCGCGGCACATGGACACGATTGCTGTTTCTGGATGTCCTTTGTGCCTTGTTAAGCTGCGAATCTTATACTCGTGATCGTTGTGTTCATTTACACATCGTTGTACGATTCGATTATTCGAGTGATCGATTAAATGTTGGGGTTGGGAATTTGGAGAAGTGGGAATTGGAAAATTAGGGAGATGGGAAATTAGGGAGATGGGAAATTAGGGAGATGGGAAATTAGGGAAATGGGAAATTAAGGAGATGGGAACTTAGAGAGATGGGAACTTAGGGAGATGGGAAATTAGGGAGATGGGAAATTAGAGAGATGGGAACTTAGGGAGATGGGAAATTAGGGAGATGGAAAATTAGGAAAATGGGAAATTAGAGAATTGGGAAATTAGAGAAGCGCGAAATTAGAGAGTTGAGAAATTAGGAAAGCGAAAAATTAGAGAAGCGGGAAATTAGGGACTTGAGAAACTTTGCAAAATAGAAAAATTAAAAATACTGAATATCCAACCTACAATCCCCCGACCACATAAAATATCAAATTTACGAAATTGAAAATTACACGAAAAATTTAATGAAAATATACGGGTTGAACAGTCAGTTGCACTGTGTTTGCGTGGGCACAATTGAACGGGAGAATTAAATTTCAGCCGTTTACAGGATCCCCACAGCGGTGCTTCAACGTTGTATTTTACACCGCACTTAATACTCCATTTAACACTTGCCTCGTATAATTGAACATGACTAATGAACTGCGGATAATTAAGCAATTATTCGATCCTCTCGAATCGTTGCATTCGGTCGCGTCATTAATGGATTTCGAGCGAGGCTAAGCCGTTTCTTTCTTTTTAGACGCGTAACACCGTTATCGGACAGCAAGACAGAGGAAATTGATTTTTCTAATCTTCCGCGGCAAGTTTTCGAGTTATGAGACTATAAATTTTTGCTGAGTCGTTACATCCAGTTACAACCTGCGAGGCGTAAAATAAGGGGCGATAAAAATCATTAACGGACCGTTCGTTTTAATCAGCTTTTTTATTGGATTTGTCGGTGGAAAAAATTAATGGCGGAGAAAGACATTAAATTAAGTATAAACCTATTAGCAGGTGAACTAATTATTCTTTCGCTGAGTCGATATTAGTGTGTTATGAAAATCTTGTGTTTTCGTGAATTTTGTTGCAAGTGATCTAACATCATAAGAAAAGCTCGTTAAAGTTTCATAATGAGACACAGGTTATTCCCTTGGTAGAACAATTTCAACTACTTGTAATTTTTAACACAGCTTCACCGTTTCACCTATGGCAAATCTTTTAGCGAAACCTCTTATGATTTAACGCCACAATCCCACCTTCCGATATCCGTTGTAATATATCCGCCTGATGCCGTTTCCGACGCTGAGATTTGTCATCGAGAAAGGTTCAATATGAAAGAATTATTATCGACCTCTTACCTTCGCCCTACCTGCTATCTGTAACTGTCCTTGTGTTCTACCATACACGTGCACGGAATATATCTTTCCGTGACGCACATATATGCTGTTCACGACGCAGAGATTAATTAAAACCTTCAAAAAATTAATCCTGTGCTAACTAGCCGACATTTGACAAATCGCAGACTGCTAACATATACGTACACGTACATAGGTTACATATACGTACATATACGAACATATACGTACACATGCATATATATGTACACATGGGCATACATACATACTTACTACACATGTGTATACATACATACTTACTACACATGTGTACACATACATTCATATATACATATGCATATTCATACACACGTACATACCTGTACACATACACACATACGTACATATGTGTACACATACATACCTGCACATATAGACACATACGTACATATGTGTACACATACATACATATTATACATGTACATCATACATCACTTATTGTTAGATATACTTGTGTATGTATAATGTACATGTATGCATGATATTTTATTTATACATATATGTTGCATACGTACATGTATATAAATAACATATAATATTCATTAAATAATCTATGACCTTAATACGATATAATGTTAGTAACATACTATAACCTCAACCAGCCACTGCAATTTCAATACCTAATCTAACAAAACCTTACCTAACCTTAATAAGATATAACATCAACGAGACATAATCTTAATAAGACATCATATATACCCCATGTGTGTTTTGCAAAAAACCTAACCTAACTTTAATAAGACATCATATATGTGTGTTTTGCACGAAACCTAACCCAACCTTAACAAGATATAACCTCAACAAGATACTATAACCTTAATATCATATATACCCTATGTGAATCTTGCAAAAAACCTAACCTAACCTTAACAAAATATAATTATCTACACCCTATGTAATCCTTGCGCATAAAAGGTTAAATACGAAGAGCAAAGTGGATAAAATTTTCATGATTCACAATTCGCGCCAAGCAGCAGCTGGAAGGGGTTGTAATCTCGGCTAGCTCGATACAGCCTGATAATATATCCGCGGGGTGACCACCCTTTAGTCGCGTATACGTTATTGGAAGAATGCCAATATCGATGATTTACCATGAAATCCGCTAGTTATTGCGTGGGAAACGCGGTCTCATTATTTATACGTTATATCGCGCCGATACTTTTCCAGCGAGGTTGTAAGGGAAAATAAAGTGCTGTCTGCGGCTCGATGAAATAAGCGATTTTCGCGAGCCCCGACACACAGAGACGAAGAGGGTGCAATAAGAGGGAAGGGGCAAGTAAAGGAAGGAGAAATCGATGTCGAACAAGCGTCTCGAATTATTGCCGGATGTTTGGCAAACGCATCGATTTACAGGCTTAGTTCCTCTTCGGTGTATCGGTGAAAACGTGAGTACCGGACTGAGTAGAAACAGATTTCTTCTGATTTTTATCGAACCTTTAATTTTTAAATTGGGAATTTCTCAATTTTTAAAGTGGAAATTTGAAAATTTTGAGAATTAGAAATTTCTACATTTTAAGTCTAGAATTTTATAAATTCATAAATTCTAACACCTCTAAATTTCTAAACTACCAAATTCCTAAATATCAAAATACCTAAATTTTCCACGAACATCGAATGCCAGCAGCGTGATAAAAATCAGCGAAGATTGATCGAAATCAAACGTACCACCGAGCAAAAATATTTGCTCTCGTACTGCACTCGATCTCGACCACTCCCGTTTTTGTGTTCTACACGTTCGTATTTTTTTCGATATCACCGATTCAGGTGCTTTTACAACGCCCAAGCTCACGTCGTATTTTAATTAAACCGAAAACGAATTGCGTAAACATTCTGATCGGGACAGAGAAATTAAAAAAATAATTGATACGTCAGCAAAATCTGAACTAAATTATGGTGTAATTCTTTCTTGATTATATCACATGAAACTGCGAACGATCTCGAATTCATTTAAAAATAATTGTCGAGAAAATTGATTGCGTTGTATGAATGATGGATACAATGAATTTTCTTACCTGGCCAGTTCTCTTTGAAGATGATGAACCCTGGAGCGTGCTCTTTCAGCTTCTGCCGTAACCTCGCGTACACGAGCTTCGGCCTCCATTCGTTGTCGTCGTTCACGTTCCACATCTCGCTGCGTGGCCTCTCTCTGTAACAATCAAAATTTTCTTATTAACCAAAACGTCGAAAGTAATTCACAAAATTCTGTCAATTATTACCACGCATCAAATTACCACGCGTTGAATCACTACGCGTGGAATTACCACGCATCAAAGCACCACGCGTCGAATCACCACGCGTGGCATTACCACGTATCAAATCACCACGCGTCGAATCACCACGCGTGGAATTACCACGCATCAAATTACCACGCGTCGAATCACCACGCGTGGAATTACCACGCATCAAATTACCACGCGTCGAATCACCACGCGTGGAATTACCACGCATCAAATTACCACGCGTCGAATCACCACGCGTGGAATTACCACGCATCAAATTACCACGCGTCGAATCACCACGCGTGGAATTACCACGCATCAAATTACCACGCGTCGAATCACCACGCGTGGAATTACCACGCATCAAATTACCACGCGTCGAATCACCACGCGTGGAATTACCACGCATCAAATTACCACGCGTCGAATCACCACGCGTGGAATTACCACGCATCAAATTACCACGCGTCGAATCACCACGCGTGGAATTACCACGCGTCGGATTACCACGCGTCGAAACACTACGCGTGGAATTACTACGCATCAAATCACCACGCGTCGAATCACCACGCGTGGAATTACCACGCATCGAATCGCCACGCGTCGAATTACCACGCGTCGGATTACCACGCATCGAATCACCACGCGTGGAATTATCACGCGTCGAATCACCACGCGTGGAATTACCACGCATCAAATCAACACGCATCGAATTACTATGTATCGAATTTCCACGCGTCGAATCACCACGCGTGGAATCACCACGCGTCGGATTACCACGCATCGAATCACTACGCGTGGAATTACCACGCATCAAATCACCACGCGTCAAATCACCACGCGTCGAATTACCACGCATCGAATCGCCACGCGTCGAATTACCACGCGTCGAATCACCACGGGTCGAATTAGCACGCGTAACCTAAACCAGTCGCGAGATATAACCCAACCCTAAAAAACCATAAGAATACGAAAAAATTTGCAATTTCACAGTATTGCAATGAAAGACCAAGAGCAATTTAGAGCAGTCGATCTTCGCCGACGAACATTTTTCGTAGAAACGATCGACAGGAAACGGGACCGCTTGTTTTCCAAGCTTCCATGGTGTACGATTTATTATCGGCGGCTATAGGCGCAATGGGAGGCACATCGAGTTAAATCGTGTGAAATACTGCTTTCGGCACATTGGCCGAGCGCAATTATTGATAGGGCAGAGCAGCCGTTGCCGGAGAGGAGAACGACTCTAGCCGCGTTCAGAATCGAAAGGGTGCAATCAATGTACCGTGCAACGCTTCGATTTAAATTCATGAATAATTCCTCCCACCGGTACCCTTCAAGATCGACGAGCTCCTCTCTTCCGGCTTTTTTCTGCCCTTCCCTGACGCGAATCATTCCGCTCGATCGGTTCCGCCTTGCATCTTGGTTTAATCAACAAAATGTCCGATATCCACGATGTCCTGACTCTCGTTTCATTTTCGATAGAGTAGATTCCTAGGGTATAGTCGATAGTACTCCTGAGAAAGTTCTACTTTAGACTTAGTTGTAAATATTGGTAATTTGACGCCTCGAGATTTGAGAATTTATGAATTTAAAAATTTGAAGAATTCAGAAATAAGTATCGAGTATTTGAGAATTGGAATATGTATCCAATTAAAGATTCTGAAATATGATGGTTGACAAGTTTTAATATTTAAAATGTGAAAATTTGGAAAATTTGAAGTGATTGCGAAATAAAAATGACAAAGATAGTGAAATACAATTTGTCGGTGCAAGCCTGAACAAAACGTCCCCAATTTCCAAATTCCCATATAATTCAAACTTGATTCCGTCGACGTCCATCAAATACTGTAACGAACAGGCACTGCGAATCCGTTTATGTTTCACCGTAAACGATTTGCGTTCGATTTGCATTGTTCGTGGAAATTGTAGCCCGAAGCATCGAAATAAAATCGAAATCTGCGACAAATCCCGAGCGGATAAAACGTAGCCGGAAGCTAGAAACGTAGGAAGGAGCTCTGTGATCGGTACAGATCAACGTTATCCTAACCGGGAGCGAATCGTAAATAGGACGAGTTTTCCTGGCTGAATCCTGGTCGATGTTTTATTTGCTCGTTAAGCTTCTTTTCTTTACGATTCATTTCGCGTCCGTCGGACGTAACCCGCGGCAATAAATCCGCTCGGTCGTGCTCCTCTGAGCTTGAAAAGCGTCAACGTCTTCTGAATAAAATTTCAGCCGAGGGTGGAGAAAACGAGTTGCCGTGAAATCGTTAGATGCTACTTTATTAACGTTGTTTTTATCGATGCTATTTCATCGACAACTTTAGCATGTTATACTGTACGTTTTTATATCTTTTACATATACAGGGTGACTCACAACTGGGTCACGGAAATGGGTCGTGGGGGACGTGATTCTGAACGTGGTGATTCAACGCGTGGTAATTCGACGCGTGGTGATTCGGTGAGTGGTGATTCTACGCGTGGTGATTCGACACGTAGTGATTTGGCGCGTGGTAATTCGACGCGTGGTAATTCGACGCGTAGTGATTTGGCGCGTGGTAATTCGATACGTGGTAATTCGACGCGTAGTAATCCAAAGCGTGGTGATTCGACGCCTGGTAATTCTCCGCGTGGTAATTCCACGCGTGGTGATTCGACGCGTGGTGATTCGACGCGTGGAAATTCGATACGTGGTAATTCGACGCGTGGAAATTCGATATGTGGTAATTCGGCGCGTGGTAATTCCACGCGTGGTAATTCGACGCGTGGTAATTCGACGCGTGGTAGTTGAACGCGTGGTAGTTCGACGCGTGGTAATTCGGCGCGTGGTAATTCGGTGCTTTGTAATTCGACGCGTGGCAATTCAAAGCGTGGTGATTCAACGCGTGGTAGTCCGACGCGTGGTAATTTTTTCAATTATAATATTTTTCTTTTCACTATAAATAAAAAATATTAAACACTGCTTATCTTGACAATTTCAAAAATTCATTTAAGTCAAATTGATAGGAATTGTAACTTAAATCCAAACTCTACTGTAAGGCATTTAACTACATCTCCATAAGAAGTAAAGAAAGGTATCTTACACGTTTAATCGCATGTAGTCCGCAATCGATACACGAAGAAGATAGAGGAAAGGTGTTAGAGCATTTGTTAATCTATAGATGAATCCTTTGGATACGCCGCTAAGAATTGCCATTGAATCTTGTTAAGAGCGTAAGTTTTTCATGCGTCGCACGTGTCTGGCATGAAACTCACGTGCGGTTATCGATCGACGTGTCTATCTTCTTGCTCATTGTGCAACCAATAGTGTCCCCTTAAAAACGTGTACCTTCTTCTCGTGAACTGCTACTGTATTTGACGATGTTACTTTTCGACTTTTATCAGATAATGACTTCACAAAATTTACGGGGATATGATAGTAATTCAATAGAACATGTCTTTATAAAACATGTACAATTCCAATTTTATGATCAGTTCAGTTGAACGTCCTTTTTATAATTCATGCACAGTAATTGTCATTGTACGAAGAATTATTACAAACATTTTAAATATTATTTCTTTGTTGAAAGACAATTTATTGACAATCTAAACTTGATTATCAACGACACTATTGTTAAATTTCACTCTTTATGAATTATATAAAATTCTTTGGTCTGTTAATACCTTCACGTATAAAATAGAGTACAACTTCTGTACCAAAGATCTCATATTTTTAAATAAGGTACTGCGTCTTTGTCAGGACATAATAAAGAGCTCCGGGAAGAACATAGGTATCCGCATGAATAATATATCGATTTAAATCCTCATCTAAGAAAGTTGGAAAGTCGAAAGTGACCCGGAGAGGGGCCAAACTTGCTGAGAGCTCTGTCTAGGTCGTTTCGTTGACTCGCGACTGGAAAAGAAGGACAAGATGGTATTACGGGGCGACGAGAGGTAACCCCCAAAAAGAAGAATAGCCATGGCGGGGTAGTGAACGTTCGTCGGGATTTAAGGCACCATAAATCCGCTCCGACCATCCCTTAAGCCCGGTACGCAGTGGTCAGTCGGCTTTTACCAGATTGTATTCCGCGATATCTTTCGTTTGGACCCTCTCGACTAAACGTCTTTCACCTGACTCTCTTTAATAGACCTTTTTTTCTTCCCGATTTCAAGCAGCCTTGCTTTTAATTCTCTCGGCACGTAGCTCCGGATTTTCTCGAAAATTCAATTCAGATACAATGGATGCCACAAGTTGGCACCTGCAGTTTTCAGCGAAAGGCGTTTGTATCCCTAATATTTAAAATAAATACATAATCTGTTTTATAAAGCTAAATATTTGTTCAAATACAAATATTTTACCGTAAACTCCACGTGTTTACTTACTTTTGATAGTCACTGTACACCAGAAATCGGGAGATAAAGGTAGGAGTAGATAACATCGGGATGTTTGCTATAGCGTTCGCTCCAGATTAGATAAATTAAATTAGGAAGGGCGGGATCGATGAAAGTTAGTAATGGAAATATCGACGTACCGCTAATCGCATTCTGTGGGATTACTACTTAATGTCTACACCTTGTTAATCAATGATTCGTGATATAAGGGTGAAGGGCAGATTAAGCGATCTAGGAGAGGCTCACTGACGTAACATTCTATTTATTTCTCTAGTTACAAATACAGCAATTTCAAATTATTTTAATAATATATTAGATATAGCAGAGCAGTAGTGACGCAGTAGCATACGAAAACACCAAAATACCTATAATAATAATACCTAAAACTTTCGATCGAGTCTCCAGATCGGAATGTCTCCACGCGTCGAATCACCACGCTTTGGATTACCACGCGTCGAATCACCACGCTTTGGATTACCACGCGTCGAATTACCACGCGCCGAATTACCACGTATCAAATTACCACGCGCCGAATTATCACGCGTCGAATCACCACGCG